TAGTGCATTGCCTGCAGCTGAACCTTGCCTCCTTCCTCCCATCCACCCATTCATTTGAAGGGACACCTTTCTGACATCCATCCAATCCATCCCATCTCCGCCCTCTCTCAACTACTCATCAATCAGCCTCCTTTCCCTCTTCAACAGCACCCGAGGTCTCTTCACTTCTTATGATTGCGACTTTGAGGGGGCAGTAGAAGGCATCTTTCCGCCATCGCCCTTTTTCGCTTTTCCCGACCCCTTTGGGTCCTGTCTCTCTCTTGCTGAGCCGTCTCAGCCATGGCTTTTCTAAAGTCGCTGCGTCTGCCGGCGCTCATCGCCGCCGCAGCGCTGACATGGACGGCCACCGTCGACGCGAACTCGGCCGCTGACTACTTTGTCCATGAGCTCCCGGGTGCTCCGGAGGGCCCGCTGATCAAGATGCATGCTGGGTGAGTGCTGCCAGGCGACACTCTTGTCGCGATATGCGTTATGATATTCATACTGACATACTCTTGATCCCAGGCATATCGAAATCACTCCCGAACACAACGGAAACCTTTTCTTCTGGCACTTCCAAAACAAACATATCGCCAACCGGCAGCGGACGGTCATTTGGCTCAATGGAGGACCAGGATGCAGCTCTGAGGATGGCGCGATGATGGAGATTGGACCATATCGATTGAAGGATAAAGAAAATCTCGTCTACAATGATGGCTCATGGCACGAGTTTGCCAACCTGCTATTCGTCGATAACCCTGTGGGCACCGGTTTCAGCTATGTCGACACCAACAGCTACGTGACGGAGCTGGATCAGATGGCCAACCAGTTCATTACATTCTTGGAGAAGTGGTTTGACCTCTTCCCTGAATACGAGCAGGACGATGTAAGTTGTGTTGAAGAACGTGGGCGCTCGGGTCGCAATGCTAATGAAACAACAGCTCTATATCGCTGGAGAGTCCTTCGCCGGACAGCACATTCCATACATCGCCAAGGCTATCGTCGAGCGCAACAAGAAGCCCAACATCGGCCACAAGTGGAACCTCAAGAACCTTATCATCGGCAACGGATGGATTGACCCCGACAGGCAGTACGAGGCGTATCTGGATTTTGCTTATCAGAAGAATCTGGTCCAGAAGGACAGCGATATTGCGAAAAAGCTTGAGGTTCAGCACCGGATCTGCTTGAAGGACTTGGCCGTCGCTGATGCCGTGGACCACCCGTCGTGCGAGCAGGTGCTGCAGGATCTGCTGAGGCTGACGGTGAGATACAATGCCAAGGGCCAGCAGGAGTGCCTCAACATGTACGATGTCCGCCTTCGAGACACCTACCCGTCCTGTGGAATGAATTGGCCGCCTGACCTGGAGAACGTGACACCTTACCTCCGTCGCCGCGACGTCGTCGATGCCCTACATATCAACGCTGCTAAGGCTACCGGCTGGGTGGAGTGCAACGGTGCTGTGGGCAGTGCTTTCCGGGCCAAGAACTCCAAGGCCAGCATCTCATTCCTCCCAGAGCTTCTTACGGAGGTGCCTATCACACTGTTCTCCGGAGCCGAAGACCTCATTTGCAACCATATTGGAACCGAGTCCCTGATCAGCAACATGCAGTGGAATGGTGGAAAAGGCTTCGAGCTATCTCCTGGCAACTGGGCACCGCGTCGTGACTGGACTGTCGAGGGCGAGCCGGCCGGTTTCTGGCAAGAGGCCCGTAACCTGACTTACGTGCTTTTCTTCAACAGCAGCCACATGGTACCATTTGACTATCCTCGGAGATCGCGAGATATGCTTGACCGTATCATGAAGGTGGACATCAGCAGCATTGGCGGCGATCCGATCGACAGCCGTATCGATGGCGAGCCCGGGCCCGAGACAACGGTCGGCGGCACGGCGGGCAACACTACCGCCGCGCAGGAGGCAGAGAAGGCGAAGTTGGACGCTGCGAAGTGGGCCGCCTACCAGAGATCCGGCGAGATTGTCTTGGTCATCGTGGCTATCGCAGCCGTGGCCTGGGGAATCTTCGTCTGGCGTGATCGACGGAAGAGGCGGGGCTACCAGGGTCTTTCCACGAGCGGGAACGGCAGTGCTGAGACACACCACATGTTGGGCAGAAACACGGGCTTGGAGAACTTCCGCAACAAGCGGACGAACAGGGATATCGAGGCTGGTGACTTTGACGAGAGCGAGCTGGATGATCTGCACCTCGAGACGCCGACGGTGGCGGAGCATGACAGGAGATACAGCGTGGGTGAAGACAGCGAGGATGATGATGGCAGCGGGGCCAAGAAGGAAGCTGCTGCCGGTGGCTCGGGTTCGAGGTCATGAATGAAGCTTTATGCCCAAAGCTCAAGACAGTGTGAACAGTGTGCCCTGGGAGAAGTTCGTGGGGCTTGAAAACTCAAGACATATACCGGCGTTTGGAAAGACAGGCAAAGGCAGTGCATATTCATTTTGTAGTTCTCCGACATGATCATATCATTTTTGTCACAGGAAGTTTGGTCATGCAAAAGTGAGGGAAACTGTGAACATTTAGATTCCCCGTAGACCGTAATCACGGCCAGTCATGCAAGTATAGCTGTCAACCTTGACCTCTCGGTGACGGACCTCCAACGCCTAGTACCTTTTTGCTCTCTATATGCTTGATTGTAATGACAGCCGTCATGCCCTCATCCGGAAGAAACACAAAACAAAGAGAAACCTCTGGGGCCGTATGGGGCCCCCAAAATTGATCCAATCCAGCCATGCAGTCCATGTCCAGCCACACCCCCTTTAGAACTGGGCGACGTTGTTGAGGATCTTGACCTCCTCGCCGGGCTTGAAGGGCGGCAGGCCGATGTACGGGCAGTCGGCGCAGCGGAAGGCGTCGCCGAGGGCGCAGCTGCCGCAGGAGCCCGTCTTGCCCTGGACGGTGAAGTCGAGCTCGTTGAGGTCGGCCGACTTGAGCTTGAGCGTGCTGAGGTCCTTGTCGGCCTTGTCGCGCCGCGCCTTGTCCTGCGCCTCGAGGCGCTCCGCCAGGCCGCACGTGCAGTCCTTGCAGGCGCGGCGCTTCTGGCCGGGCTTGGGCTGGCACTCGGGTGCTAGAGAGGACACATGTTAGTATGTCGCTGGTGGGTAGAGAAGAGGGGTTTGAGGGCGTAGGAGCTTACGTTGCTGGATTGGGCGCGCCAGGTCGGCATCCGTCATGAGTGTGTCCTCGTCAATCAGCTCGTCGTCGTCATCGTCATAGTCGTCGCCAAAGTCGTCTGAAAAGTCGACGAAGCCCACGCCGATGGGTTTCACGGCGGGCGGGGCCATGTCCAATGTCGTGGGCCTGCCGTTGACGGGCACAGTGACGCTTCCAACCGCTGGGCCGGCAGAGCTGTGAGCACCGTTGCCATTCGTCTTCGCAGCGCCATTGGGCGCACCGTTATTCTTCTTCTTCGCGCCGAACCGCAGCGGCACCACGACCTCCTCCTCGTACTCTGGCTTCTGGAAGCCGCCGTCGCCCTCGACCAGCCCGGCCAGCACCGCCTCTCGGGCCTCGGACGCGTGCAGATTTCCGTCCTGGCTTTGGAGCTTGGCGCCCGCCTTCATGGCAGGGACAAGGTAGGAGAATACGTCGCGCGACAGCAGCTGAAGGGCCTCGGTGTGCCTAGCGCCGTCGGTATCGGTCAGCAGCAGGACGAGGTCGTAGGTGGCGGGGGGCAGGGTGACGAGGCCGGCGGACAGACGGTCGAGCATCTGCAGGTCCGTCACGGCTCTATCGTAGGCGGAGAATGCAACGCGCAGCTTCTCCTCGTGCGAGGCAATCGAGGGCGGGGCCAGGAGCAGGGTGCGGCGGCCGGTGTGGCCATTCTGCTTCTTCGACGACGACGCGGGGGCGGGGCTGAAGTCGAAGTCATCGGAGGTGTCGATGGTCACAAAGGAGGGAGCCATTTTTTCGAGAGAGATGTGACAATCTCCTCGCCAGAGAGAGTTAAGGAGTGAACAGTGCTGTCGTGAGAGTTCAAAGGGGGCAGGAAAGAATGTGGTGGTGTCCCGGGCGAAATCGAGTCTACTTGGGCGGTGGGACGAAAAGATGCAGATTTCTGGGGGAGGTGATGAAAACATCTCCGGTGAAAAGACCGCACATTGGTTGGTAATCCGAGTCCGTGTGTACACACCAGAGCTACTGTATAGAGCCACATAATGCACGCTGATAGCACAGTACGGATTATGGGTCACTGACAAAGCCCCTAAATTATGCCGGCTATCGTGCTTTTACTGATAAGGCACCCCTAGCCTACATACCTTAGCAGAGCCTAAAGCGCTAAGAAGCCCTGGGGGTTAGGTAAGGGCTATCTGCAACACTCCTATTTGCTGTAGGCTCAATCGACCCATTTTCCGATGTCGGCGGACTGGGATATCATTGAGAATGCTCATTGCCAGATCTACAATTGCCCCATTACAGACCGTGAAGGGCTGGTGTCACTTGGCCAGATCTGGATCATATTGTCACAAAGGCTATACATACAATCTTCCATACAAAAGAGACTCAACCAGAACTTCTATCTGATCGATGACGATGGTGTCTGGCATGACAAGGTCGTCATCATGTTCCTGACTAGACGGGAGGCTTCAGCTGTCCGCATGCCGTAGACGAGGATAGCTGTCTAAAAAGGGAACTACCCGAGTGGAGCTAGCATGTCCTGAGCCTCATTTGCGGACATGCTCCTGTGGGTTCATTGGGTTCATGAGACTCGTACGAGCCATATGACCCCTGATTGTTGACTCACACAGGCGCTGGGCCTGCTGGGCCTGCTGGGGCGAGGAAACATGCCACCACAGATTGCGCTGGGCTTAGGTATGCCGAGGGCCGGCAGTCGGGTGAGACGCGGAACACGCCAGCTCTGCGCTCAGCCCTGCATTACTTGCTAAAAACAAGCTCCCATTTGGAGCTACCCTAGCTCAACATCCCCATTGAGTACGCAATGCGCTCGGTGTCCTCCCGGAGCCCGTCGCTGGGTGGAAAGGAAGCAGGGAAGGTAGATGCCACGCTGGCAGAATTGGCGATGCTCACCTTGAGGACATCTCGAGAAGCCTCCATGGCGCTTCTGTGGGGCAGGGGCGCTAGGCTGCTTGGGTTCTTAGCGGATTATCCAGGGCTGCGCGTAGAAGTACCCCGCATTCTCTGGGCTGGCCTAGGGAGCCGATTGTACCTGCAACATGGACCCTGTGGGGCTGGAATTGTGTCATACGGTTGCTATTCTGTGGGGAAACTGCGCATTGGGAAGGGCCATATCGTGATTCAAGGAGAGGTCCCCCTCCCAACAAGCAGGAACAGAGATCCGGGAAGAGGCAACGGGACGAGACGCAAGATCAAGGCAATTGCACGCCAAAAAGATGCAATAGCACTACTATGCTACATGGAGCTGGCGGGTAGATTAGCTGAAAGTCAAAAGATGGGACCGGCCGGCTTGGATGGATGGAGGGAGGTTGTTGAGGTAGGCAAAAAGGAACGGGGGCATCACGTAATGTCCCAAGTCGGCCCACCCTCCAGCAAGCGCACCTCAGCCAGGCCTTTCCACTACTCTACTATTCACGCAGAAACGCCTATCACGCCTCCATGTCTCGTTCCGCTGGGTCGCGTGACTGCTGTCCCCGTCGCCGTAGGTTCCAGCTTGCCGCAGCCCCCCTGATTGATGTGCTGCTTGCGCAAGAACAGTAGCTTTGATTAGCCTCCAGCTCGCCTGATCACATCGAACTGCATCGAATCGACTCATCCCATCCAACCCCCGGTGCCGCCTGCCGCGCCAGCTACTAATAGAGCTCCCTCCTTCCCAATCCCCATTGCCATATCATCCGAGAACGTTACTCAACCTCCAACTATCACCTCCCTTAATCATCTCCCATCCATCGACAAACGCTTTAAAGAAGGGATCATCGCCCCTTTCCAATCTCTCCATCTCTCATCCATCTCACCCATTCTCTCTCACACATAAGCAATTCCATCCAGGCTCCGGCATCGTCTCCAATTGATCAGCAGCCTCTCACTTCCCGCACAGCGCCCCAATTGATTCTCCAACGTTCGTGTAAGTCATCCAATCCCACCTCATCCGCGAGTCATCCCTGACGCACCTCCTGCGTCGAGCTGATAACGACCCCGCATCACCTCGTCCAACGCTAACATCCCGAAACCTTACAGAACCCAACTCCCTTTCGATCATCCAGCATCGATTCTCAGCCATTTTCATCTCTGAAACCTACCTGCAATCAATTGAATATCGTCCAAGAGTGAGTTTTCAGTCTTTCAGCATTCAACCGCTGTTTCCTCAGATGTCAGATGGCTGATATGTGCTTGTTTGGAACAGTGACTCGCTCCCACAAGTTCAACGACAAGGACCACCAGGGCCTGGCTGACGGCACCGCCGCGCCTGAGGAGCACCTTCCTCGCTACTTCGCCAAGCACGGCCATGCTGGCGAGGATCCCAAGAAGACAAAGAAGAACGGCGGTGGAAAGGCCAACTGGTATGTTTGAACCCTAGATGTGATGTCTTCTCTAAACACCCCTCACCACTCACGTCTATGATACTTTCAAGAGTCATGCTGACAACCCTCTTCCAATAGGGGTGGTGTCGGCGAAGAGGTCGTCGATGATCAGTTCAACTTCACCAATGCCCGTCGCCGCTCCAACAGCAGCGGCTACTACGACGGCAAGGTCGACTTCAAGACCAAGTTCGAGTTCAACGAACCCGAGCCCGTCTTCGAGGAGAACCTCCACGGGCCTGAGCCCGGTGATGAGGAGCTCGTCAAGACGGAGACCGCTTCCAGCGGAAGCTCCCTCGATGAGGAGAAATCTGCCAAGAGCGTCTAAGCCCCCAAATACCAAGGCTTGGACATGATGGGGGCTCGTCATTTCGAATGGTTGCTTACAATATCTGCAAGAATGAATAACGTGTACACTTTTGGTGTTTGGCTGGTATGGATGGATTTGGCTTTGAAAGCAGATTGCACCTCGATCTGGCGATGCCTTCATCGCACTTAACTGTGCTTGCTCGCAGATAGCTATTTGGTGGCCCACTCATCCACCTGTTGTATTATAGCAAACCACGTCTAAAGGATCTCTCACAAATTTAGATCCATTAAACACAAAGTTCTTCAATCTAACTAGTTCCACGTGATGATAGATGTACAATGTGTTTCATCGAGGCATATAGGCCCAGTCAAAAGTGGTAGGTACCCACGTTATTACTTCACTGTCGATGGGTCTTTACCGTCAACTCGACTTAGTGCCTACTCACACAACTTCACGCCGGCTGAAAGGGGGAGGGTTATTGTTTCTCAACGTGTTCACGTCCGTGTAGTGCAGTTCGCTGGGCATAATTCAAAGAATGAGTACTACGAGTTCTGTCATCGTGTTTAATTGAAAATACCGCTCTTCTCGTGAGATTGCTCTCAAGATCTACGAACTGTTTCGACAGATCAGCTTGTGACCTCGAATTCAATTAGGCCTTCCCTAGATTATCCCTTGTTGAAAATCGTCAAATTTGTCAGGATTACCAAAGTTCTTCACTGTCAGGGCCTGGCACCCACATGGGAGTGCCGTTTAAAGGGTATTGGTTCCATGGGTCCAGCTGATCACCCCCTATCATTCCAGCGTTGTAAGGCTCATCTGGAACCGCAAGAGGTAGTGGTTCGAAGTTTTGTTGTGGTGTTGGGTGCGGCCCCAGCGGCACCGTCCCATGGATACCATATGCAGGCTGGAGCAATGTGTTCGCTGCTGCATAGTTGGGCATAAGCGGAAGGTTTGGAGGCATATTGACCGGTTTGAACTGGCCCAAAGCCTGAAGCGGCTGCAAGGGGGCGAGCTCTACGGGTATTTGCATATCTCCCAGTCTCTGGCGTTTGGCACCTGTTCTCGCCGGCTTTGGTTTGCCCGACTTGCTTGCTTGGCGTATCATTTCTCTCTCTGCAGATCTAAGTGCTTCTCGCAGACTCTTCATCAGCACTTCGGTATATTCTTCCTGAAGCTGTGGGAGGTGGCGTTCGATGCATTTCGAACTAAAGATTGTTAAGCAAAGAGCAATGATCCGATCGAACTTTTCTGTAGTGGCCTCCGTAACTGTTTCTTCCATGAGTAAAGGGACTTGTTACAGAATAGTTATACTCACACGGGTCTTCAGGTATCTCTTCGCCGGGAAAGAGTGTGACGAACACCACAAGCCATTTCTTCAGCTCAAGCTCGGCTTCTTCCTTCGTTATACCAGACTCGCCGATGTACACATCAGTATTGTCTTGAACCCATTTTTGGAACCAGTCCTCATCGCAATAAATAGGTGTTTCGCCCCTGCTTACTCTGTAGAGAACATCATCCACTTCATCTCTTCGAGCGTCACTTATGCCATCTCTTTCTAGTAGGTGATTCTTTTCTGAAAGGTCCTCATCACGTAGTATCGGACAAGGCGGATCAGATCTGAGTTCTTTCCCATGTTCCTGTGCGGCCACTTCGTCTGCAAACAGGCGCTTGCAGCGCGAGCAAGCCGGGGGAAGTCGATGGTTGTTTGAGCTCTTCCTCGAGCAAGAATGATCACTGTCAAAATCGAATACATCAGCATTGCAGATTAAACAGAGATCACAGTAGCCAAGAGCACATACTTCCACAAGCGGCGGACCTCTGGGGATCGGCCAAGTTTCCCCTTGCAAGGAACCCCAATAGCAGCGTGCCAGCAGATCATGGGATAAGGACGGAATACTGGCAATCTCCTGCCCAATTTATTACCAGTGCCAACCCTAGCCCCATCTGACGATTCATTTTCACCTCTCAGGCCAAAGCCTATCGCCGAGCGGTGAGCTCGCCCAGCTCCTGGAGCGGTAGATGACGTCGCATTGCTTGTACTGGTACCGCCGCTTGTTCCACTGCCGTTATCAGTAGAATTCGGGGAGGCTTGCGGTGCTTGGAAGTGGTTGTTGCCAACTCGGTCGAACAGGGAATAGAAAAAGCCAAGCTGATCGAGACTTTCATCTGAGTCAATGCTCCACTGGCTTTTGTCATCAGACTCTGAGACGTCACCACAGTTGTCTACCTTGGGTATGACTCTGTGGTCCGAAGAGTCGCCATCTTGGGCCATCCCGCAAGGTTGTCCTGAATGGTGATGGCTGTTTACATTGAGCTCCGGATACCTAGTCTTTATGAATAATAAGAGATTTGACACTGCCAGAGCCTCTGGAGGCTCCAGGTCCGCATTTTGTAAGAACCATCTAGGCATCTCTGCAGCCGTGATTTGATTCGAGACTAGATTGTGAAGCCTTACGTCTACTTCTGACTTGTGGCTGGCCTCTTGTCGCTGGAGACTGGTACTTGGCCGTGTATTCGGATCCGATGCGGGGGAATCTGCTGGTGTTTCACAAGATATACCAGAATCCTCACATTCGTGTCTTTTTCTTTTGCGACTTTCTTCGGTAAATGAAGCACTCTCATAAATCGTCGGTATATGAATGGAATATGGGAAGATGTTCTGATTTGACGACACAGTATCTCCAGAAAATCTTGGAGATGGGATCGAATCTAGCTGGATGCAGGAGTCATCGATGAGCAATTGGGGTCCGTCAAAGCCCGAAGCATACGTGCTGTCGGGTGATCTTGCATCCACGGTCTTTCTAGCACCATCGTGTGTCATTCCCGCTGTTGTGATACTCGTTGGGCTGTTACAGGCCATGATGCTCCCATAAAAACCCGGACTCGGTCTCGGGACAACCAGATTCTCTGATGCCAAAAAGGAGCTAGATGGGCAGATATTCTCGTTACTAAGAGTATTCCCATTTTGGCGAAAACCTGGTGGTAGTATTTCTCGGACGGGCATTTTTCAGCTCGCTGTTGGTCGGGTAGAGAGAATTTGTCAACCGCTCCGAGGTTTCGGTACTGAGAGCCAACAAAGACAAAGATACAGATATGGCTGGATATTTCGTTAAATTCGTTGCTCCTTTATTTACAAGCTGGTTTTGACAAGACTATGGCAGATCAAAACTTCAACGTTTGTAAGAACGATGCTGTAAAATTTGTCTAAAAACACGCAAGAGACGCTGACAATGTTCCATTATAAAGGATGATCGGAAAGCCATGAGCTACAAGGCTGAAGTATGCCTTAGGACACACGCGAACACCAGCCACCGCGACGACCAGTACACGCGAAGTCTAGTAAGCGCGAAGAACAGAGCGTGCGAAAGTTCGCAGGGCCAGTCAAAAGTTGCACAGCCATGCATGATGACGTAGATGCATGGCGGAGACAAGTATCTTAGGCATGTCAACACAACATACTCGAGCGTATACGAGTCTTATTCAACAATCTCCCATTGGCTTTCTGATGAACTACGTCTTATGCGAAATTTGATTAGCCTTCAGGACTAACGGCAGAAAGTTCATCTTGAATTCAACTACTCGAGTTTCCAGACATCACGACCATGTTCTTATTGGGTTTAGTCACTTCACTTCGAAGTGGTTGAAGGTGGTCCGCACCACTTTTTTCGGCATGAAGTCTGACAGAAGTATTGATCTCAAGAGCATGAGTATTGTAGCAAAGGTGCAAGAAAACTAGTAAGGAAAGCATAGCTGAGGATTGTATTTTCGGATATGATAGTATTCGATGTTGGAGGCGAAACACGTTGGCAGCGACCGGTAAAGGATCTTCATAGAATATCGTCTTTCGGCCCCATACCACCTCCACGGTGAGCAGTCCGGACGTATGTACCACATTGTACCTTTTATCATTGCCTACATTATGAGTTAGATACTCGAAGTTCTCAAAGGCCCGGTAGGCCTGGTTACTTCAAGTCAAGTGAACACATAAGCGCGGAAAACATTCTATTTATTGGCTCTGCGAATGTTCGCATCTGCCCTAAGCTGTAACTAGGCAAATCCATACTTATGCCCACAAAGCATATATCAAGTTTAGCAACATTAGCTACGAAACAATACGCGTTGGGTTGGCAATGACTACTATTTGCGGCCATTCAAGATTCGCTGTATCGAAAATTCGCAGAATAGTCAGATAAGCCCATCGTCTGAGTTTGTATGGTTTCAATCTTCTTATATTCTTGATCGCACTGTGCGTATCGTGTCCTTTCTTTCTATACTTCAAATTCTCTGCCCTCACTTGCCTCATGGCTTCAACACTAGCTGTATCTGCGATTTCTGAAGCTCTGCCCATGCTAGAACTTCAACGTCAACGCGCCATTGACTGGCGGCTTATTGTCTCACAGAATGGCAGATATGTCATGCATCTTCTTCAGTTTCACAGCACCCAAACGGGCACTACTGCTTTGCATATCTTGAACAACAAGTACCATAATGTGAAACCCAAAATCCCATGGTATCATGGACATTCGCTGCTTGAGGATGCCATCATCTCACCAGTGAGCTCCGGCGCTGATATATGTAATTAACTTTGCTAATCATCCCCCAGTTTTGTGTTGGTGATCCTGAAAATCAAGACTTTCCCCGTCAAGTCATCATCGAACAAAGGACGCCATTGCCAGAACTCACAGAGGGCTTTCACGATCCCAATATCCTCCTGGGAAGTGGAACAGATTTCTTCCGGTTCTATGAGCAGTTCAACTTGAAATACGACAGCGCGTCGGCAGGGCGACCTGTCCACGCGTTACTAATTAGGACGCACCCGAGCAAGTATCTCATCATCATGGGGCTGCTTGGGTGTGTGCTTCTGTCTCTCGCTGTTGGCCTCCTAGCTGGGCTACTGGGTCGCGATACCAAAACCGGCTTTATAGCTGCCGGAGCAGCTATTACTCTCTGTTCTATGACTCACGCTTATCTATTTGGGATGAAATTTCTGGGGTAATGTGCTAGAGGTTGGTTGGGGTTGCCTCGACTTGTGTGGCCGTGATCTCTGAGGGCTAGGCGAGGCCGGATCTCCTTCAATTTGAGAGATTGTATATGAGCTAAGGAGCTAGGTGAACGGCCTCATATTTTACACATTCTCTTCTATACAGGTTCTAGACTATAACATTATGTACGAAACCCTTGAGTATTGGTAGCTTACAGGTGTCACTGATTACTCTCTGCTATTATGTTCATGGCGAATTCCAGCGAGAAAAGGTCTCTGTCTTCATGGCTCCCCTCTGCAAATTGCTTCATCGCTTGACCTGCGGGCTTACTCTGCTCTCCTTCTACTTTGGCTTTCTTGATCTTCAGAGCGTCTAATTTTCTCCTAGGAGATATTGAACCCTGATTCTCAACTGAATTGTAGGACACGCGGACCGGGATGATGATAGACTCTCCGTCCGTGGTATATGGTATACGATAGTGTCGTATTTGGTGCGCTTCATAGTCTTCCATGGCCCAGGAAATGGTATTGACTCCAGCAAATGCGCCATCCACTTCTTGATGACCTTCAGAGATCGTGTCTGAGATGGCTTCCGTTCCAGATATTTGACGACTCAACAGCTTCTGCACAAAACTTCCGAGTTCAGCTGGGCACTCACATGCCTCCACATCCTCCCAGATGACGCGTTTCTCCCCATTTGCGGGAGATACAGCACGCGTCCACAGACTGTTAAGCCCAAGCGCCCGGAATCGTCGTGCCAGATCGGAGGCCGTCCACGTCCCGGCATCCCGAGCCCAGCTTGAGCAGCCCCAGTCGACCTCGGAGTCCAGCTTCGTGATCTTGGGCGCGTGCCGCACCTCGGCGAGCTGCGCCGCCGTAGGCTGCCACCCCACAGAGACCCGCGGCGGCACATGTGCGCCGTCACGCAGCGCCTGGACCAGCAACTCGGCACCTAGAGGGGCAAGTAGCTCATGGATTTGCGGTAATGTGCACTCCTCGGGGACAGGAACACCCGGGAGAGGGGTCTGCGCCAGCACGGTGCCGTGGTCAAAGGCGTGCTCGTCGAGCGTCTGAAGCGTCACGCCCGTGTGCGTGCGCCCGGTCAACAGCGTATGCTGCAGGGGGGCGGGCCCGCGGAAGTCAGGCAGCAGAGACGGGTGCACGTTCAGCCCGCCGTACTTGGCACCGCGCAGGACCCGCGGCGGCACGAAAAGGCCGAACGAGACGGCAATGATGAGATTGATGGGGTCGGGGCTGGTGCCTGGCGTGGGAGGCGTCCACCCGGTGAATGTGTCGCGCTCGTGCACTGGTAGACACAGTTCCTCCGCCAGGGGTTTGATGGGAGGCACCCTGATGCGCCGTAGCCCTCGGCCGGTAGGCTTGCCAGGCCGGGCGACAACATCGATGGAAGAGATAAGAGACGGGTTGCGAACATGCTCGGCGTGCAAGGACCGCAGTGAATGGCAGCTGAAGTCATCGGAACCGCAGAACAAGATGCGGAGCGGATCCGATGCCTTGGTGCTGGATGTGGAGCTGTACCGGAGCAGCAGGCCGACAGTGCGGACCGGACCTGGCCGTAGAGGATGTAGACGGGCCCGGAGCATTGCTAGACTAGTAGGGTGCGTAATCTGCTAGTACAAGGATACTGATTTGAAGCTGTTCATGATGGGGTCATGTCATCGAAGAGGAGATGATTCGTGGTATCTTATCTCAACATGATTGGAGAAACAATTTGACGCCTTCTTGCTCGTTGTGAAACTCCTCCTGCTCTGAATGGTCATGCCATGGCCTTTGCTGAGTCTACCGTGTCTCGCTGTTCGGATGCGTTGCGTGCATGTGATTTGAGATGAAAGTGCATCTGTTCTAAATCCTCATCTCGAAAAGGACATTGGTATATGCACCAGCAAGGCTGGCTACAGGCTGTGTGGAGACGAAGACCCCCATAGGGATTTGACCCAGGTACCTTACTTTACCGTCCGGCGTATGGTAGGGTAGGTTCAGTGGGCGGACGCATTAGGCACCTGCTCCTTCCTTTCAGGCGGGTCCCCCAGCTTGTCATCCCTGCGCCGCAGTTGGATTGCATCCCACTTGGTTGCATTGCCCTGTGTGCTTTCATTCCTACCCCTTTGCTAATTTTGATTGCTCAATTACCGTAAGTGACACGCGTGGCGTAAATAACTTAGCACCCCTCAAGTTTCCCGTTTGCAACTTCTTTCCTTTCATTTTTAACACTCAAACAATCGTTTTAGGCTCGGCTGCGTAGAGCTGTCGATCAGGTAGTTTTGAAATATCTATATCACTCGGCGCATAACCCTCCAAACCCTCGAATCCGGTGTGTTCTGACAGCTCAAATTGAAGATGTCAAACAAGAAAGACGACCCCCGTGGGGGTGAGGGATCTGAGGGCGAGAAAGATGGCTTTTTGAGAGGCTCAAGTCCGCATCATGCCAGTCATGCGAGTCCTCTTTCCAAGTTGGACAACAACGCTGGCGCCTGCATTCTGGCTTACTGCTTGGCATCTATCAGCATGACCGTGGTGAACAAATACGTCGTGTCTGGTAGTTACTGGAATCTTAACTTCCTGTATCTTGCGATTCAGGTAAACTCCCTGGTGATCTTTGGCTGGCACGTTTCTGACCTTGCTGCAGTCCACTGTCTGCGTAGCAGCAATCATGGCCTGCAAGAGTGTCGGCTTGATCACCAACTTGGCTGCATTTGACTCAACTAGAGCCAAACGATGTGTGTCTTCATTCTCATGCATTTCTGTGTCAGTGAGCAATCCTAAACAGCTGACCTATAGGGTTTCCTATTTCTGTCTTGCTCGTTGGATACATATATACTGGTGCCAAGGCCCTTCAATTCCTCTCGGTTCCGGTGTACACCATCTTCAAGAACTTGTCTATTATTGTCACTGCATATGGAGAAGTCCTTTGGTTCGGCGGCAGAGTCACCCCTATGATCCTCCTCTCATTTGGAATCATGGTTCTCAGCTCCATCGTCGCTGCTTGGGCTGACATCCAAGCCGCTGTCAACGGACAACACTCGCAAGAGTCATCCGAGGCTATCTCGACTCTTAATGCGGGATACATGTGGATGGGATTGAACGTGTTTTGTTCTGCCTTTTTTCTTCTCAGCATGCGTAAGGTCATCAAGACGATGAACTTTAAGGATTGGGATAGTAAGCTCACTCACATTAAAATGAACCTGCTTTTTCAGCCACTAACACACATGTAGCTATGTTCTACAACAACCTCCTATCAATCCCGGTCCTTATCGCTGGGTCTTTGCTTCTTGAGGATTGGTCGGGCGAGAACTTGGCCAGAAACTTCCCTGAAGATACGCGTAATAGCCTCATCATCGGCATGATTTACTCAGGTCTGGGCGCTATCTTCATCTCGTACTGTTCTGCATGGTGTCTCAGAGTCACCTCGTCGACGACCTATTCGATGGTGGGCGCGTTGAACAAACTCCCTATGGCTGTCAGCGGCCTCATCTTCTTCGACGCCCCGATTACCTTTGGCAGTGTTTCTGCTATCATTATCGGTTTCATCAGTGGTCTCGTTTACGCCTGGGCAAAGATTCGTCAAACAGAAAAGGCCAAGATGTCTCTTCCGACGACTAACCAGCCGAAATGAGTGTCAATGCGAAGAGCAATAGGAACGATGCTCGTCTCTCAAATCGCCCATCTGTACACGCCCGACCAGGTGCGAGAGGAGGTTGCAATCGATGTCGGCCAACGCTTACTGGAAGGAGCGAGTTCTTGATTGATGCCATGGCTTGGACGTTGGATCACTGAAGATAACCTACTGAGCTGATCTCCGTGCTCAGTGTAAGCTCTCAAGGCGATTTTCCATGACAGTGAAATCTTGCACTGTTACTCGGGTAGTTACCGAGACTAAAGAGATGGATAACCGTGGCTGAGTCGAGTTGTGAACCCTGGCTTTACGGTCAAGGATGGGACACATGTTGCTTCGAAGAGGTCTTCGAGTTGAAAGACAAGTTCTCACCTGCTTACGACGTCTCAGGTGGAGAAGATGGGGATCGCGTGGTCACGTCAACACATTATGCTCAGAGACATACAGCGTAGACGGTATCACGGAAGGGTATGACCTGACTCATGGGTGGTCTCTCACGTACTTGGCGACACACGACGTGTTCCTGGGACCATTTTTGGGGGTCATCTGGATACCCTGATCGTGCAACCGGTATGTTGCAAAGTTTTACTAGAAAATTCAGGGATGTTACCTGCACTTCATCATCGCGGGCACAGAGCGTTTTGATATAAATCCAGGGACCCGGTAGCGAGGAAATGAAGAGAAATTTGCCTCTACACATGGAGCCTGAAGAGGAATTCGCCACGTTTGTTGCCTCAGATTCGGCTACATGTGGCTGACCATTTTCAGCATCTCCTCAATCTCCGCCGTTTCTTGATGACCAGTATATGGTAGTACAGAGCAGCTCCTTGAAAAATTACCGCCCAATCCGGCTCTCAAATCTGAGACAAATAGCAGGCGAGTAGCACAAAGTGACATCGCCGAGCCATTACCGGCAGGTTCGATCGGAAGTGCGGTCATAGACATATAAATACTGCTCAATATGGAGCCGATCAGTTCAGCGTTCGTCAACGTGCAATCATCATCCTGTCACAATGGCGACCGTTGATCCATCAAAGTTGTACATCATATCAACTACAATTACTGGCCAACGGGTGGTCCTTGCATCGTCTGAGAAGAACAATACTGTCCTTGTTGAGCCAGAATCCTCGGAAGCCAAGCAATTTCAGCAATGGGAAGTCTCCTTGAGCGAATTTCTCGGCCTCTACCGTCTGTCAACGACACAACAAACTCGAAATGGCCGGTCCCTAGACATTTTCGATGACAACGGCACTGAGAGCCGGGCGCCGTGGTTCTCACTGACTGGGTATTACACTGGCCAATTCTGGCGCCTTGAGCCCTCAGTCAACGGAACATACAGGCTTAGCAATAACTTCACCGGGCCGGATAAATATCTTGACGGCTTTTCCGAGGCTCTGTTGCCGCAATTGAGTCGCAGTGACTCGCCATCACAACACTGGACTCTCACCGATGTGACTACGGAGACACTGATCACGACCACGCAAACACCAGACGTCCCCTTCACCGAGCCTTCCGCTTCCTCGGCAGCAGGCGGAGCGTCAGACCCCTACGCTCTTGCCCCTGAGCCCGGCGGCAAGCTGTCCGCCGCGGGCATTGCGGGTGTTGCCATCGGCGGTGGGGTCATACTTGCGCTCGCTCTTGGAGTGGGCTTTGTGGTATTCATATCCTTCCGCAGGACAAGAAACAAGAAGAAGGTGCCCAAGCGGCCGGCACCACCGTTCAGAGAAAGAAGTTATACTGCCAAATGGCACGACGACGAACTACCACTACCGCGCTACGAGCCTACTTTAGGCAACGATATCTCCGAAGACACCGTCGCCGAGTTGCCACACCACCATGACCCGAATCATATTCCGCACGAATGACAGAGACTGAGCATGACGAGGTATGCACGGATGGACGACAAAATGTGATCTCCTTGCATGGCAGGCTGAACAAATATCTCGTTGAAAGATTGGATATATAGAGATTGAAAATGTAGCACAGCATGAATTGGACGAACAGTTTATCCGGCGCAGGTCTCCTCTTAGCATTCATCAATACCCAAGAAGCTATATTTCGCTATATAATATTGTCCTTGGCATATTGCAATTTGGCCCCTTTTTATCTTCTCGAGCGGTCGGGGAAAGATAGCTGTGTTGCTCTCGCTAATCTTGGCGTGTTCTTTCCGGTCACATTGGGATCGGGTCCGAGGAAGTTCATCGGGAAGCCAACGTCGAATGACTTCACGCCCTCGAGATATTTGATTTGATCGTCGGTCAACTTGATATTCAGCGCTTGAATATTGTCCTTCAGATGCTCGACCTTGCGACCACCCACGATCGGGAACACTCGGGGCGCCTTGGAAATCACATAGGCCAAGGCAATTGCGGTCACAGACTCGATGCCGTGCTCGGACGCGACCTTTGCCAACGCCTCACTGATGCGAGTTTCCTCCTCTGACTGTCCAGCCTGCTCGCCAGGTCGCGCAAGATTGCGGAGGCCTTCGCCCTGAGCCTTGCGCTCCTCAAGGGCCTTCTTGCTCTGGAACTTGCCTCCTCCCAGAACGTCCCAGGGCGCCAATGCCATGCCAAAGTGACGAGCCATTGGGATGATATCTCTCTCGAAATCCCGGACCATCAGGTTCCAGCGGCCCTGGTAGATGCTGAACGGCGTCTTTCCGTGGTCGATAGCGTATGTGTTCGCGGCCGCCACCCACCAAGCCGGTGTGTCGGAGATACCCAGATACATGATCTTGGATTGCTCCACTAAAATCTGAAGAGAGTCGATGACCTCCTTCGGGGAAGTTGAGAAGTCCCACCAGTGAACATATAGAATGTCAATGTAGTCTGTCTGCAGCTTCTTCAGAGAATCCCGAACAGACATGTGCAGACTTCGCCTGTGGTTTCCTGCGTGATTCGGCGCCTTACCCTCGCCGATCTGCCAGCCGCGGTAGTCATTGGTGTACTTTGTAGCAATTACCAGCTGCTCGCGGTTGTTGCGTTCCTTCATCCACTCACCGATCCAGGTCTCACTCTCCTCATCCTGGTAGTTATTGGCGGTATCGATGAAGTTGCCGCCGGCCTCGACAAAGGCATCAAGGAGCTTGAATGACTGCTCCTTGTTCATAGAACCCTGACTATGGTGAGTCACCGATTTACAGCAAAAATAATATCGCAGTGGGACTCACCATTCCTGCTGCCCACTTCTCGCCAATCGACATGGCGCCCAGCGCCAATGGCGACACTCGAATTCCGGCTGAGGACGAGAGAACCTGCAGCCGGCCCAGCTCGGTGGGAGGCTCTGGAGCTGTATCAAAGAGTCCCATGATTGTCACTTTCTGTTCAATGAATTGTTGAGGCAAGCTGGAAATTGTGGAAGTTTTGATGAGTCGTTTCGAGAAGAACACCTGCCTGGCCGTCCTCTTTGTTCTTCAGTGACGAGCGGGGCTAAGTATTTAAAGCCCCATGCTCAATGATGGCGTCAACCTCGATCAACGGATTTTGGGCGATAAGATGGTATATCCGGCCCACTTCTACGGCCACGCAACCTTCCCCAAAAATTATATCACTAATCTCTGCCTCGAACACAGCCAACAGAGGACATTTCAGCCTTGCAGCTATTGCAATAATGGGGAACTGCGATCACTCATAGGGCGTTCGAATGACTCGGATCTTAGGCGTTAAGACCGCCGCGCTCCCCGCACCTCACTGCACGACTCTGATTCCATACCATGATCTGTCATACTCGATTTCAAGCCAGCCACAAGGGTGCAGGATCCCGATACATCGCTCATGCCGCACGGCATCCAAGGCCAAGACCCGGTGTCAGTGCCCCGCATCACGGAGACAGAGCGGGCGAGACAGCAGGCCGGCTGCCGGGAGCAGTCCTTGTTATAGGGCCTGTCCTACCGAGAGCCGGCTTACCAATCAGTGGATGACAAGGGATCGACAATCTTAAGTTGCACTAAAGTTACACGTTTCCCCATGCACTAGGCTCTAGGTGTCAGGTAATCGAGATAGCTTAGCTGCTATCGACTTCCCTATCGTCCTACCCAACTTCATAATCTTAATACGAAGAAGCGCTTTTCAATGTTGTGATAGAGTTGTTTCAACGGTGTAGCTCCTCAGAAATTCGCCTGCTGCTGAGTTAAGCCGCATAATCTCCAATTACGTTTTCCGAAGGTCCCGATGCAGCGCTGTAGTGCTCCGGGTCTCTAACGGTCATCGATAAGCTGCGCGTGGAACCAGGATTTGATCGAACCTAATCGAGCGCCGCGACAGCCTCAGGGAACCACTACCATGGCACCGGAGTCTGGGGTCGGGAATGGCGCTCCAGCGGCCGGAACGCCGCCTTATGACGACAGTTTCTCAGAGACGGATGTCACCGCTACGGAAAACACGCCCCTGTTGCCGTCTGAGGTCAGCTCACAGACTCTGCGGGATGCCTCGTCAGCAACCGAAGAGCAGCGCACCTCTCCGGACGATGACGATGTTGCAGCCCATTCTGTTAGCCCAATAAGGGCAGTTTGCATCGTTTTGAGCATGTGGGCATTGATATTCCTGCAAGGTAAGGGGACAACTAAATACACAAATCTATCCCTGGCTCACATATTGGTATCATAGCCAGCAATATGAGCGGTATGACGATGACACAGTCTACCGTTGCTGCGGATTTGGATGCATATGAGGAGGCTATGTGGTTCACCAGCTCATATCTCATTACCACTGCCTCTTGCGCCCCTCTAGTTGGTCGTCTATCCACCATCTTCACTCCTGGCATCATGATTCTGTTCTCCTCATTCTTCTTTGCTATCGGGGCTATCGTCGCATCCCAGGCTCACTCATTTGCCATTTTCATCCTCGGCAGGTGTCTGATCGGTGTTGGCGGTGCTGGCATCATGACACTTTCTCTGATTCTAGTGCTTCAGTTGACAACGAAGAGGCGGCGCGGCCTCTTCATCGGATTGGTCAATGCGGGCTTCACAATTGGTCTGTCAACCGGCGCCGTGGTATTTGGCGCCTTGCTGCCTGCCATGGGCTGGAGGGCACTATTCTGGATACAGTCTCCCATTGGTATCTTGGCAGGTATCGGTGTCTACCTCAGCATACCTGCATTCGCAAGTACTAGTCCCACGAAAGACAAAAGTACTCTTCAGAAATTGGCAGGAATAGATTACGCAGGGGCAATTCTCCTAGTGAGTATAGGTTCTGCATAGGGGAGTGAATACGGCTAACGGAACGACCAGACGGCTACTCTAGTCAGCTTCCTCTACGGTCTTTCTGGAACCATCCAGTTTTTGCCCATTGCTCTCTCTTTACCGCTTCTCATACTTTTCGTTGTCAATGAGTATTTTCTTGCGTCAGATCCACTTATTCCACTGAAGGTTCTCTCAAATCGCGGTGTCCTCCTATCATGCTTGGCGCAGCTAGGTCTGATGGCCTCTCGGTGGACAGTCCTCTTCTACGCCCCTATCTTCGTCCTGGCTGTTCGCGGACTTTCTCCCGCCGTCGCCGGCTCCGTGTTGATCCCGACTAACCTGGGTTTCGGAAGCGGCGGGCTGCTCGTAGGCTGGCTCCATGTCCGCCGAGCAGGCTCGTTCTGGCTGCCTTGCCTGGTGTCGATCTTCCTGTTCGGCGTGGCCCTCTTTGGTCTGTCATTCACGAGCAATGCCAGCACCCCCGCCTGGACATACGTCGTGACCGTCTTCCTGAACGGCTTCTGCACGGGAGCCGCTCTCAACTATACACTTGCACACTTGCTACATCTCAGCGCTCCTGAGACGCATTTTATTGCCACTAGCCTGCTGGCTACCTTCCGTGGCTTTGCTGGAAGCTTCGGCACCGCGATTGGCGGCGGGATATTTATGAGGACGTTGCGCGATAGCCTGACGAAAGGCTTCGAGGCATTGGACGGCAGTGACGAGCTGAGCCCAGGGCGCGCGACCTTGATCTCCAGGCTCATTGGCAGCCCGGCCCTTGTCTTTAACGGAGATCTGAACGCTGCCGAGAAGGTTGTGGCCATTCAAGGCTACGAGGTGGCTCTGAGGGTGATGTATCAGGCTGCTGTCTGCCTTGTGGTGATAGTTGTGTTTGTTCAAGCCGGCACAGGTTGGTCGGCGCCTGCTACAGAGGAAGAGGAGGAGGAGATTAGGGAAGAGTTTGCCGAGCATGACGGTCGCATGGAGGCTTGAGAGTCTGTATGCATATGATGTGACTCACATTTTGAGTTTTGACGAGGGGTTGGAAATGAAGTATCGGCGTTGCGCAGAGACATGGGAAATAGCAATATAGATTGTACTTTTAACAAAACTGAAAAGACACTGATCCACATCATCAATTGGCACTTCGGTCTTCTTGCCCAAGTTTCTTCGGTGTTCAAATCAGTCCGTCTTACATGTTTATCTCCAGTCCACATCGGGCAGGTTATTTAGCATCAGGCAAACACAACGACACTGACGTAGCATCAGAAACACGGCATTTGTTCAGTAATCATCTCGAGATCTTCGCGTCGGACGTGTAGCAAGGAGGCGCGATATCCTCGCGGTGTCAGGTGTTCTGGCTGCGTTCCCATTGGCCTGGCCTCGTCCGCCGAGTTGCGCCCCTTAGGCAGCAACCCCTCCCCCTAAACCCTCTTGAGGTCCTGAGGCGTCAAGCTCCATCAACCTCAGACAGGCCTGGCTCCGGTCCCTTTCAACAAGAACGATCGACAAATACTGGCCGCAGGAGAGAATGCAGGCTTGCGAGGTCCATTGTGGTCAACGATGTAGTACCAGAGTCGCGGTGAAGCTAAAAAAGCAATTAGGGTCTTGGGAATTGGCATCGACCATTGGCATTGTAAGAGTATATTAAGGATGGCCTGGACTTGAGGGCATGTAATTTTTTCTAGATCTCTATAATTTTCTTCTGTCAATTCAAGTGTTGAAACGAAGACGATTCTTAGATCTCTTTGTTCATTGATTACTCAAACTTCCCAATCTCACATTAACCGATTATTGTTCACGACCCTCACTTCACTAAAGACAAGGTCACTATGTCAGAGACTCAAGTATGGCAACACCTGCTCCTACGAATAACGCTTTCCTCTAAAACTAAGCACATTAGACCCCTACAGCAACGTCCTCCAGCTCTTCTCCGGGCGTCGGCCAGATCTGCTGGCTCGAGGTGCCGGTGACAGATCCCTCTCGAGCCAAGGAGTTCTATTCCTCCGTGCTGGGATGGGATTGCGACCCGGCCGGCAAGCCATCAGTCATGACAGGTGCCGAAAACGCTATCCATTTCTTCCACAAGGGAGAGAGCTTGCACGGCGCCTTCATCCAGATGCCGGAGGACGGCAACTGTCTCATCCGGGCATGGGACGCCGAGGACCCGCTCGCCATGTCCGTTCTGACGACGTACTGCGTCGACAGCATCGAGGACACATTGGCCAAGGTCGAGTCCCACGGGGGAAAGGTCCATGTGTATGTGTGTTGCAGTCCCGTCCTCCTTTTCAGCGTGGTGGTGCTTTGGTCTCTCGATTTACGATCAATATGTTCTAACCTGCCTTTTTGATGACAGCCCCAAGACCGCGATTGGTGGCAACATGGGCTACTTCTCGCGTTTCATTGACAGCGAGGGGAACCTGCAGGGTCTCTGGGCAATGAACTGACGTGGCGACTTGATGGCTTAGAATGGTTCGGAGTTTCGGTCAGTGAAGTTATATTGGGCTCCTGAGACCCGTCTATTTTTCTCTCTCTGGCAATAATAGTAGTGCCTTTTCCCATTCCCACCCCTTATGCAAATCGTGATCGTACAGTGGACGTCCTTCATAATTGCTTATATACTTAAGACACTTTCGTGTTTTCTTTCAGTCAATCGCTATCATAACGCTCTCAATTCCTCCTCTGGTATCGTGGGCTCGTCTCCTCTAAGATTGCCCTCTGCGTGTTCGTATTCGGGCGATGACGAGGACATTGTCCTGGCCGTGTCTCTCCTTCTCGTTGGAAAGCTTTTCGAAACTCGCCGTAAAAAGCCTTCTTTCCCCGTGCTTGAATCAGACATATTCCTCTGCCTCTCGCGAATGATTGCGTCTAAATCTAGATGGGAAGTGCTGGGGCTTTGCGCAGTACTAGGATTTTCACCGCCGCCCATCCCACCGCCAGCCCCAACCCCGACCAGTCGACCTTTGTGGATGGGGTCCACTAGCGTCCTTGCGTCCTTGACAAAGGTAAGGTACAGTGGATAGAAGAGGCTGAAAATGAGCAGCACAACAACCAGCACAAAGGCGGTCTGGACGCTGCCGCCTTCATTGATGATACCGTACATGACAAATGGCCAGAACGCTGGGCCCGAAGCGCCCATGGTGAGCCAAGCTCCGGCACGCTTGGTCCGCTTCCCTTGCCCTTTAAGACCTATAGCGAAGACAAGCGGCCAGACGGGACCTTCAGCGAAGAAGAATAGGATCACGGGGATGGCCAAAAGGTCTGGATTGGCTCGTGGGCGAAGGACAACACATATCAAGGCTAGCAAAACGCTCGATGCTGATGTGAGGGTGAGGATTGTCCTAGGGCAAGGTATCCAACGGTTGTTTGGATGTTTGACGGCTGCATAGGCGAGATGAGCCGCATTAAATCGTGAGATGGCGAACGCGGCGTGTGCGATGAGGAGATAGTTTGACACTGATAATGCCAAACCGGGAGGTTTATCTGCCGAGCTGGATGCATCGGGTGACAATGCTGTGATCATGCTGTGAAAGTAGATGCTCATGATCTCCTGAGCCGCAACGTACACCCACTGCGCAAGAACGGCAAGTATGATGCACCAGGTCCGTAGCTGAAGCCCGCCAATACCTCTCTTTTGGGGATCGACTGGAAGGCGAGTGGCGGCTCGACCGAGTTCTTCATCGGTCACCTCAGGTAGTGGCATATAGTAGAAGAAAAGCGCAAGAGCAACGCAAAACAGGGTGATGGCGAGATACGTCCACTGCACGTCCAAAAGTATCATGGAGCCCGAAGCATCATCCGAATCTAGATCCACAAAGAAGACTTTCTGTGCCAGCAGTCCGCTTATCACCGTTGCAACGCCCTGGAAACCCTGAGAAATGCAGAGTCTCATTTCTGCATACTGTGGTGGTCCACATAGCACAATGAAAGGGTTTGCGCCAGTCTCGAGAACACCCAGGCCGAATCCGACAACGAAATTGCTAATCATGAAACCGGCAAACGAGGTCATAACTGCGCTGGGCCAGAACATGATAGTGCCAATCCCGTAAATGGCTAGACCCATAATAAAGGTCGCTTTGAAGCCACCGACGGGTTCGCTATTCGCTCTGGACTTCAAATCGTGGAATCTAGCATGTTCGTCGTGCCGGAGAACCCATTCACCGACAACTAATGGGCCGAAGAAATAACCGCCACCAAAATAAACGCTCGTTAGTCCCAGTGTCTGCGCTGTGGTCATGTTGGAAATCGTGGCGACAACATTGTTGAGTGTGTTGAGGAGGCCGTAAGAGAACCCCCAGAGCAAGAAGAGGATCGTGACAATCAAGCAGTATCTGAATGATTCGGCGACATCTGTTTTGATCATGCTCTTTGGTCGCTTCATGTTGACAAAGCCGAAGTAGACTGAGTTCCGTCTCGTGCTATTACTAGCGAGCGTGTCAATGGTCGCGCTTTGAGGAATCCGGAGACCGGTGCTGTTTCTTTGTCCAGGAAGCTCTGTCATGTCTGGAGTGGTCAGGAAGTCCATCATCGTAACTCCTTCGGGTCCCGAGTCTTGAGCGGGAGGTGCTCTTAGTCCATTGGTAGGTGCCTCAGGTACAGCCCCCTGTGCCTGCCTTCCTTCATCGCTTCCGTGCTTTGATGGAGACTCGTTGGCCATTTCCTTATCCTGGGTCGATGAGCCCGCCGTACGGGTACCATGAGGATCGACAAGCATGGCTGGGAGGATTTTGATGATCAGTGGCTTGAGGGTTGGGATACAGGCACACGTCATGCCGATGTTGACTTCCACAGCAGACCACATTAATGATAGAGAGGCGTTCCAGGGAAACTCTACACTATCGCCGAATATGGCCCCAGGGTCACTTGAAGGACTCGATGGCACATTGGTGATGGCCTGCTGAAGGTAGTAGATCCGCACAACATCCACGATGGTGACAAAGATGCCCAGCGTGAACGTGAAGACAAGGATCGTCTTCTGTCTTGTTGGGAGCCGCATGCTTGTCAAGACAGGAATAGGCAAGGCCAGAATGGCTAGGTCGGTGACAATGTTGATTGGTGCAGAACAAATGAACTCTGTGAGGAGTGGGATGCATTTAGGCTCGCCTGTGATGTCGCTGAAGGATGCGTTAATCGGCCGACATTGAAAGATGTTGATGATGGTGAGTATTAAGCCAGCCAGGTTGACAATGCCCAAGACAACCCAGGAGGCCATTCGAAGGACCTGTTGGGTGTTCTTTGACAACCGAAGATAGAATATCAAGATTGACGTCTTGGTTGCCATCAATGCGGGATTCTGCGCCTCGAGTCAGCAAACTATACCTAGACGAATCAGTTGCATAGGAATGCCTACGTAGAGGATAGAGAAGACATATTCGGTCTTTCTGAGCGGCACTCGATGCTCATCTGGAATGTTGGCATCATGCCTGCCGAGTCCTCTCCTTGTGCCAATGTCGATGGTGATACTCAATCCCACTGCAAAGACCCAAGCCAGGACGATGATGTAGTCGTCCCAGCTCACATGTCGCACGATACCGATGCGGCTGACAAGCCTGCCAGCGACAAAGATGGTAGCTAGCACCAATGTTGCTGTCGTGACTGCGAAGACAGCCGGGCCACGATCCGGGAAGCCATCCCTTGTTGTGGTAAAGCCAGTCATGGTCTACGCGCAGACAGCATCTAGAGCCGCTTATGCGAAGTCTTTGGCAGAACCTCAAGTCACCAACTTGAACTTGATCGAAGAGTCGCCATGTTTTTCCTTCCTACAGAGTGATGAACAAAGCTGGCGACAAGGTGTCACTGAAAGAAGCCACGGCCAGAGTTCGAGCTGGTAAGTAAATTCGCAGAGCCTCTTCTCAGCTGACAGACCGGCAGTCTGGTCCTACCGGCTGAATCCTACGGTGTCGGAACTCTGCAGCGCTGTGACGGTGAGTTGGCGGGCAGAATCAAAGGTGCCGCAGCGTTGTTGGGATCCCGGGCGCCAGCAGGAAAGAGACGAAGTGCGCAGTGCTCACGGGTGAAGTAGCGTGGGAAGAGCCTCAGCAGGAGGTACTTGGGCTCCTGCAGATCGGGGCGGTCGCCGTGTCACCGATACCGCGTCGTTAGGCCTGAAGCGGCGAGACGATTGCAACGAAATGCTAGGAAATCAAATTTGACTGATTGGAAGAATGGAAATTGAGGTTGTTCAAGGCAGATTCCAGATTCCAGATTCCAGGGTGCGTCCGACTCGTACAGTACATAACATGCCGTTCTCCCCCGCATGCGCCACCCGGCAGAGGAAGAACAACAGGAGCCGTCGACGAGCTTGAGGCAGACTTGAATGAATGAATTGAATTGACTTGACTTGAACGAAAGGAAATGTATGGATGTACCGGTATGGGTGTGCATGCGCCATTAAGCGTGCAGAGAAAGGCGCAGGCGGTCACCACATTATTGCCCATGCCCTATTATGACAGTTGTGTTGACCCAGAGGACTGGAGCCAAGCTTCGCTTGAGGGACGCGATGACATACAAGTTTGCCGATCCCTGGCGAATCAAGATGTTTCCCGAGTCGAGTCTCCTCGAGGGCAAATGAAAACTGATGGGGCGCTGCTCCTAACTAACCTGGCTCGAGCCTGGCTAATGGCTAATGGCTAATGGCTGCCCCGGGAGGCGCTTTAACTGACAGCATCCCCGTCTTACTCACCCCAAGAAACCTCACCAACCACGAAGTTCGGCCCTACCCCGGAACCCCCGGATTTGTATCGTCTCCTGTGCGCCCAAGACAATGGGAATGACAAGGGGAATAGGATCCTCACTCGAATTGCTTGCATCGAAAATCTCTGCATGTCTCACTGACAACGTTGCATCCTGTGGGCATTCTTCATCGGTGTGTGCCTGTGCACTGTGCACTGTACGCACAGACGCAAAGCGAGATCCCCGACCCCGCAATTGCCCTGGAGGTTCAAAATAACGTTAACAATGGGCGCAGCGCTGTCCTCACTGTTCCCGTAGTGGAGCTGGGTGGAGGACGTGCACCGCTATTATCGGCCACTTCCGTCCTGGAATGGCCAAAACCACGGTAGGTGATTTACGGTCCCCAACGTTTACACTATACCCAAAGGCCTGCTGGTCAACAGTAATGATTTGTCCAAAGACAGAATCTCATCAAATCGGAGACTATCCTTTAGACTGTCTATAGTGTACCATTAAGATCTTCGATCTCTCGTCAATCATCAACTCAGCTTTCATGTTCAGATATTTGACTACTCCTCAGGAAGCCTACTCAACATACTATCTCTTCTTTCTCATCTCTTCTGCTTTAGTTAACATATTGCAAAGCTTCGTCATACATGCAAGACTATATCATTGTTTTGTCTAAAAAGTCCTCGAGCCTGTCTCACTTCCCGCCATTACCTGCATGATGGTGACAGGATCGGTCAACCTTACAAAGATAGACATGCTGTTTCACCTGAGCAACAGGTCGTCACGAGGATGACGAGTTGGCGAACTCCGCAATATCGCTTTCCTGGATGCCATCAGGGAACAAAGCCCGGTCGATATCGGCCATGTTCTCTCTCGTTAGACCATAACTGACCCCTTCACCCTCGTCGCCCCAGAAGTTCAAGAACTCGCCATCCACACCAAGAACACTAGACGATGCAGGTAGTTCTTGCCAACCCTGTGGTGCTTCGTTGACACCATCCTCGAGAGAGCCCTGTGACCGCCCCTGTATCGAAGGGCCTGAAGAAGGCGTTCGGCGTGCTAGACTATTTGTGCTATTGGAGCTATTCACAGTCTCCAACCCAGATGTCGCCAAAGATTCCGTTGTGGGATGGCCGCTCTGGTTGACAAACTGGTCAAATATGTTGCGAAGCCCATCTTCCAATATTCGTTGCTGGGATGCAGTAAGATCTTTCTCCTCATTCGGAAAGTTCCATATAATAGCACCCTGAAGGGTTAAAATATCAGAAAGGATTCGTGGCCCACGACGGGCCACGAAGCTCTGATAGAGTGTGATGGGCTGAACAAGATTGTGGTCGACATATGGGGATGGTGGTCGTGGTTCATGATTGGGAAACAAGATATCAAATATAGTGTGCCATCGATCTTCTTGCGACAGGCTTGGCGGCGCCTTCTTGGTAAGTTGTTGTCTTTGTGCTTCCGTGATACCATCGTGTTGAGTCCAGGGTCGTGGTAGACACGTGCGTTCTCTAATATGATTATCCCTGGATACTTCTTCATCGAATGTATCCATACAATGTGGGCAATCAATAGGAATTCTGTGCTTTCTTCCTAGATGTTGTTCAACGTCCCGTATTCTTGTCAAGACGAAGAAGCAACAATCCTGGTAATGAGAAGAATCCTTCTTCCAGAAAGGACAAGCGAATGTGGCTTTCGAATCTTTTGTGCGCCGACGCTTGCGAGCGCCAACTAAATTGCGCTGCGAGTCGTCGTCACATAAGTTGTTGTGGTCGTTGCCGTTGCCGTTGTCTTTGCTGTCAGAATTTCTGCCCGCTCTTTGGCGCTTTTTGGATGGCTCATTTCCGTTACATGGGGCTTGAATGGATTCTGTATTCGAACCACTAGGTTTTGATGTATAACGTTCTTACGGCTGCCACATACTAAAACAGTATTTAGCTTCCGGCATATGTTTTACAATAGCTTTTCAACTCATCTTTGACTGGCGAAACGGTTCCTTAAGGGAAACTGTAGAGATGAACTTTGTAAACAGCTATAGGATATTCTAAGCTATTCTATTGAAAGGGTAGTAGGGACTAAAGGAAGGTTGATAGTATAAAGTAGAGTGGTATAAGCTATTCTTTAGGCTGGTTAGATTGATTGAAAAAAGAGTAAAGATGAAGAAATATGAAGTGATGAGAAGGGGAGGGAAGCTAAGTTATATATATAAACCCTCTCACTCAGACTCTTAGATAATAGTCTGTCTTACCAAAGAGTAAGAGTCTGTCTTCGATAGCTATCTTCTTTTTGACTGAGTCAATATAAGCATTATATTATTATAAAATATTAGAGTGTTTGAAGATGGTAGTTGTAAAGGTGTAAGCCTTATAGGTGCAGGACCTGGAGATTTGTAGCGGCTAGCGCTACGACTGCTGATCTTTTGGTCGTGTAATATAGTGGTCACTCCAGGACACTATATCCTTTCAAGTGGGTAGCTGATGGACGCCTTACGTAGTGAGGTCAGCTATTGTCACAGTAGCCAAGTTAATGGCTAAAGAGAGCCTCTCACTGGAATTGGTGCGTTCTGTCAGAGTGTGTGTAATGAGTTGTCTATTCTCAAGTTCTATGAGAAGTTGTGGAGGGCTATATAAAGGGCTACTTAGACCGTGTCTAGGTAAACCATAACACTACCCATACAGTTCGGAAACTGGCGAGGTATAAAGATTAAACGTTTAATTAGCTATCGAGTAATATATAGTATATATTTATATAAAATATATTGACTAAGTTATAGTATATAGAAAATAGTGACTCTTGGTGGTACATGGAAAATTTGGCTGTACGAGTGGTGCGCCCCACATGATCTTCTCCAAGAAACTAGGACCCTCCCACGCCTCCTTGTCAGCATTGGAGAATCTCTTCGTACCTGCCCTCTACCACACTCGTGAGTAAGGCACTTGCGTCACCGCCTTGCAATTGAAGGACCGTTGCAGTACAGAAGCGTTGGTGAACTGGCCTTGAAACTCGAAGTTTCACCGCCTTCATGACGCCAAGGCGCGGCCATGGGCCTGTGATCCTGCGTCTGCCGCCCGCCATCCGCCACCGCATCTACGTCAACCTCGACATACAAGGCTCTAGTTCTTCTCAGACGCGGGGTGGCGCCGATGAACTTCCTGTCTTTGATCTGAACGGCAAGCACCACCTACTCCCCTGGCCAAGGCGTCGTGTTGATTTTCACGGCCTCCTCCTCTCGTGCCGTGTCCTGTACAACGAGGCTTCGCGTCGACTTTACTCGACGAACCACTTCAGCGTCCGCTTCAGCGACCGTGACTCGCTTGAGTGCATCCGAAATCTGCGGCCCGGTACTGTCGCTGCCCTCCGTCACCTTCGCGTCATCCTCTCGGAGGCATCATGCCACTTCTTCTCAAGCTCAGACTGGGCCTTTGGTCTGCAATGTTGTGGCGGGGAAGTGATCGGGAACACGACTCAGTGGTGTAGGCACAATCACCGCCATGACAGGCCACTCAACGCTGGCGACGCTTGTTTGACTTCCAGGGTAGCCCGACTAATCTCCGAATGGGACATAGCAGCCGAACATCTGGCCGCCTCACTGGAGGAAGACACGCTTGAACTGGCTCTAGTCTGCGATGTCTGCCCAATAGATGATGGCATGGCTGTGGCCAGATCCGTCATGTCATCGCTCCTTCGCCTTCCGACAACCAAGGGATGCTCTGTCCGCTTCTGTCAACAGCCAGATCCCCGGCTTCAGAAACTAGCCCAGGATGCCGTGTTATATTCACGTCGCATTAAACCCAGATCTCCCTCTTTTTTGCCCCCGGATCAACCGGTCCCCGGCTCAGCCTCCCCGCTCCTCAGACTCCCCCGTGAACTGCGCCTCCATATCCTCGAATACACGGACCTCATCACCCCCTGGACCCAGGTAGCCTGGAGCCCCGACCCCAAGCATGGAGGCTTTATTGCTAGCCACTGGTACTGCGACAATCTCGAGTTCAGGGGGCAAACCTGTCCCCCTTCCCGCCACCATGGCTGTCAGTTCAACCGCTGCTGGGAGACCTGGCCTTCCGTCTCTCGCGGCTGCTACTGCCGCGTGAAGCATAGCGCCTTCTCCTCCACGCCGCCGTCGGTCTGCAACTGCTGGGAGCCCCCTCAGGCTCTATTCCTCATCTGCCGAGCTCTCCACGAGGATGCTCAGGCCGTTTTCTTCTCCGGTAACCGCTTCATCGTACATGACCGTTCCTCGGAAATTCGGTTAACCCACGGCATCCCGGAGGAGTTGTCACGATTGGCCGACGGTCTGGGAGGGTACCCGGGTTCCCGGTTCGGCGCGAGCTACTTCCTGCGCGATGTCGTTCCGGAGAGCTGCCTGGGCCAACTGCGCTTCCTCGAGTTGGTGTTCCCGCCCTACCCGCCCTACACGTGGCCCGCCGAGGATCATAGGGTCCTTGTGGACTGGGCCGAGACGGTTGAGTGGGCACGGGCTAGGCTCAACATCGAGGGCCTGACTGTCCGGCTCGTCATGGCTGACCAGAGCGAGTGGGAGCCACGGGACGACAGGAAGGATATGACGGCGGAGCAGGGCAGGGAGGTCATCGAGGGATATTGGCGGATCCTGAGGCCGCTCCGTGAGCTGCGGAGATTCTATGCGTGCTTTGTCTCGCCATGGCGGTGGAGTGAAGGCGTTGGCAGTCCGGAGGCGGCGAGTGCGAAGGAGCGGGAGCTGAAGGAACTGGCCGAGAGGTTTGTCTTGGGGGAGCGGTATCAGCTGCAATGTTCGGCCGAGGAGCCGGAGGAGAGCCTTTGGAATTTGAAGTTAATCAGGGATATATAATTAAAAGCAAAGGTTCTAGACGGAGTCGACTTTAGAAAAAGAAGGTAGATATTGTTTTTGATTATATGCAAACCTATTATAATCTCTGTTTCAATCAGAGGAAATACTGATAGGCGGAAATTGAATAAAATCAGGTGGAAATCAGAAATAGATCAATATAAAGATAGAATATAAAATGAATTATATATTAAGAAATTATTCTCAGTCACTCTTTCTATCTTTATATACTATAAAACTACCATCCACCTATTTCTTTATAGGATTTACCAGCTATTCATTTAAGATAGTACAAGCCTACTCTTAATAAAGATTAGAAAGTATAACTTATTATTTTTAATACTCTTTAGGGTAAACCCTTATAAGAACATCTCGATATCCGAGATCGCGTGTATCTGACTGATCATGCGGCTCTCGGATAGACGGGTGCGGGGATTAAAACTAATATACCAAGCGCGAGAGTTAAAAGATATAGACGAGCCGGCTTGCAAATACGGCCTCGAATCGTTGTAGCCGGCTATCCTATACGGAAGAAACTTGAAAATTGTGATGGAATCGAAAGTCCTCTAGACATTATGGCAGGCCTGTCAGGTACAAATATGGTTAACGATTTCAACGATGCTGTATTCATTAAGGGTTTCTCGTCCATGCTCGTGGCAGTGAAACAGACAAGTGATTTTATTATCTGGCACTATCTTTACAACGCAACGATAGAGCGTATCTCATATTTAGATTTCGAAGACAAACCCGAAAATCGAATCAGCATATTTGCACTAGAAAGGGCGCGGCATGTTGTAGGTTGGTATTCGAATTCCAGATACTATGCAGGTAGAATCCCCGTAACTTTGAGATGATAGCGAGAGGCTAACAATGTATTTATAAGAGCGACTGATGCAAAATTAAACACAGGAAGATCCCACCTACCACCTCCAACCCCTGGCTGCCTCCTTGAGAAGATCTCTATCTCTGCCGGCAAGATTGTTTCTGCGGGGGCCTCATTTGCGATAGGCATGAGAGAGTTGCCAGTACACGTCTCACGGCAAGGGTATATTCCCAAATTGAAGTGGATATCTCAGAAGTTTGTCGTGCTGTGGGACAAGCACGATAAGCGTGGCTGGCTCGTCAACGGCACTAGTGCACTGCTTCACATTGTCCGGGCCTTTTTGGAGCATGATAGAACCGACGATTTTGCAGCTTCGTCCTTGTTCGAACCAGACAAGATGAAAGATGCTACAATACATAGACCTAATTCGGCTATTCCTATACTCTGACAGATGCTGATAATATGGGGCTCGAAATCTACCCTGAGAAAGTCGAAAGATATGAAGAGACTATACGCAAAGGATTATCCGCCGATGTAGCGGATAAGGAAAAGTTATCCTATTACCGTTTCCAGGATCGGGTCGAGCACCACTACAATTACCTCGAACAGATGATCGACCATCAGGCTAGAGTAGCCGGACAGATTGGTGTCAATATAAAAGTCAAAATTCGAAAAATACCTTGAGGGCTGGGATTTTGTCGACATCGTTTCTGATTGTGACTTGCGCCCTCGGGTGGCTACCTTGCATGCCTGTGGGTATGGGTGGGTAGACTTCATACGATCAATTCAAGCGCCAATTCTATTTGGTCGCGAATTTGGCGATGTTATTCGGCCAGCGCATGCAGACGGGCTTTGTAGTGAGTGGAAATCCGTACCTAAGGGGCGATACTACCTGACCACTTCGATCTGGGATCTGCGAAGGGTAGTAGAAATGTACGGTGATATAGAGGCTCGACCGTTAAAAGTCTGCCACGACCTTGTCTGGAGTTGTCCAAAAGAGCTCTTTAGAGCCTGCCAATGTCAGCGACGACCCGTTCGAGGCTTCAGCCAAAGCAGGGCTTGGAAGCATCATGACCCAGTACAGGCTCTTTTTCCTGCCACAATCCGCCGCGTCATGGTAGCCAACAACACATTTGACCTGCAATACCACGAGGGCGGTGCAGTCATTTGGGGCCATAGTATCAATCTGGGAGCCAATTCGGGGGAGATTGGCGATCCAGAAGTGGGCAGGCTACTGTCACTACCAATACACATGGCCGGGGATGCCACTGTCGATAGTGGTACCGGGTCTAGTCTCAGTTCATCCCTCCTGGAAGAAGGCTCTACCTTGCACTCGGCTTCAGTTCCTGATGACGACGCTTCCATAAACGTCAATTTACCGCTTCGGCCATTACGAGATGTAATGGGACGATACCCCAGCCCAAATCGCTCGCAGCAGGACAGCGATCCAAGAGACTCCCTTTCTAGAACATTTTCTAGTGAACAGCACAGAACCCGTAGAAGGGTAAAAAGACAGCGACAGCAAATGTCTGGCTACTTTTTCTCTAGGTAGACTGCACAGGTTAGAGCAGCGGCAGCACCGGCCCACTCACGAAGGAGGAAAAGTGCGAGGACAAGATTCGGGCAGCATTATTATCTGTCATAAGCTGGCATGAAACCGTTAACCGTGATTGGTCAGACTGTATAAACGCATTGTGAATGACAGGACAAGGCTGTGCTGTACTTGGCCGCAAATGGATTTATCATCGGCTGGACGCCAAAATCAAACCTCGAACATTTTTCGGGGGAAAATTACCCTACGATCACGATTGGGTTAATTGCTCTTGCTTTGGCGTACTATTACTTGATATTTGGCTCAGCAAGATACTCAATTAGATCGACGGCTCCTAATTCGACGCAACCAAGCAACCACAATAATCTTCTGCAAATTTCTGAACAACCGGGCATCTGGAGTCAAGAGAAAAGCATCCTCACTCTTGCTCACATAGAAGTTACTGAAATAAAAGATGCCTGCTTTGACGAGAGACTTCGACGAGTGAAAAGGTTTGGTCGGAGATAGAGGTTACAATATCGCCTCCAACCGAGCTATAGGGTGAGTTCCAAAGTGAACCGTCACTTGCCTCTTTACAGTGATCTTACAGCACATTTGACAGCAAGCTATTGACGGTAGAAACGATGGGAATTTCGGAACACCTGTGGGTAATCCTATAAACTTTTTATATTGGCTATTTGGTGGACGAAGGTGGCTCATCGACACTCCCCCCGAACAATTTTCTGAAAAATTTCGGCAGTGGATTAAACAAGTCTTAAATAAGCAAGAAATTGCTGAAGTGGCCCGAGATTAGGCTTTGAACGACAGATCAATCTACAATGAATTCCCCTCCTATTCATCATAAACCACCTTGTTTTGTATTAATATAAAAACATTTTGAAATAATAGATTAGGAATCGAGTAGATGTCGCAAATCTATGCAAAACATAGCAATGTAATCAAACTCAGCATTTGATACGTCTCAATTGCTGTCCTTCTGATATTAGAGACAAGTAATCTGTGATCTAAACACGTAAATATTCTCGCTAGACGTTGAGTGTTCATCGGCTATAATGCGTGTTCATTCTATATTGATTCTTTGTACCAGAGCGGATTTCACTGAAACCTAATCCAGGAGCTTATAAGCTTGAGCACAAGGGAGTGCATGGAATTGTCTTCTCTCTCTTCTATACATATATATGTATATTAGATAGATCCTAGCAATAGTCTAGTATTTTCGTAGCATTTATCGTTAATAGTACTGTCTTCTCCGAGCAGGCGGCTTCACAGTCACAGCGCCCGGTTGATATGTAAGCCACCTCAGCCTTAAGCAACTCGATAATCAAGCCCCGTGCAGTTTTTATCAACAATCCACGCGCACTATGCATACAAAACATCGATTCGAAGTCTTCACCTAGCTCATCGTTACTGGGTGCATAGATTAAGTGTAGCGTTACGGTATGAGTTGGTGCCTCAAGAAAAACAAAAACAAAAGCGAACCAAACAACATGGATAGATACAAACCCCCTCATGGACCTAACAATAGCCTTTATCATAAAATACCCTTAAGGACAGACAACATGTTTCGTACAACTTTGGCGGCATGCAGATCAGGAACGAAACGCCCATTGATTTCATTCTGTCCCGGGTGGGCCAACACCACCTACATGGGTCTCTAAGACTGCTTAGCAACCGGCTCATTTCACTCGAGGACGCTTCCCCAATCTCGTCGATTTCTTGCTATCATGAGTTTCAGGCGTCTTCGATGATTCAGTCTTGATGGCCATATCCACCAAGTTATTGAACATCGGAGTCGCTTCGTGTTCTGTAGCCACCGCAGCCTCGTCGATCTCTTCGCTCTTAATCTGCCCTAAAACAAGTTGTGGCAATGGCTCGTCCCAGACAGAACCCTCGGCACCATCCTCTTCCCCAAGCACTTCAAGGAGCGTCCGTCGCTGGTCTTTGCAGTGCTCATAATCCTGCTCGGCCTGTGTCTTGATCTTGTCGAGTTTCTGCTGTTGCTGGAAGACGGAGTGGTGTACGAGGGCTTCAAGATCGATCTTGGCTTGTATCCATATCTGCCGTTGTTTGATCATTTCCTTTCCCCACTCGTTGTGGGCAGTCACCAGACGCTCCGTCAAGCTTTTCGGCTCGTCGGGCTGGACAAATTCCGGCCATTCCTCGTAGTCTTTTGGTGGCATAGTAAGCAATTTGGGGTGCTCAGAGTAGAAAGAGTACCTCTTTCTACAACGATGCAAAGCGGTTTAAGCAAAGTGGAGGGCTCTGGGGGGCGTACTAGCACTCTGTGTTCTGAGTTATTCGCGACTGAATTCTCAGAGGGGGTACGGGAGCTACTTAATGGCGTCGACGATGGGTTTGCATATGACTTCCATGTACGTCTGTCACTTACTTAAGTGTTTCCAAGGCCTTTCTAAGGTTAAAAAAGGTTAAACGCGTATGTCGCCGGGGAACTTAAATACCGTCTTGCCGTGTCTACATAACGTTATTTAGAGCATAACAGAACGATTGACCCAAATGACTGAGAAGCCTGTTCGCGTAATTGGGATGACAGAAAGGATATCGACACCCCAGGTGCGCGGTGAACTTTGAATTGACTCCCCTGACTTTCTACAACATCAATATTTGACC